TTTTTTATTATAAAAAATGCATCAAGAAGGTAACTTTAACAAGGGCAAAAATGGCCAAATGCATCAAGAAAGGTACTTATCAAGGGCAAAATTTAATTAGTAAATGATCTACAAGGGCAAAATTAATTAAAAACAAAAAATGCCCTTGTAGATTACTTCAAAATGTAATCTAAAATGTAACCTAATTTTGGTTACTTTTTAAAAATGTATCCAAATTTTTGGTTATTTGTATTCTCGAAATGCATCAAGAAAGTAATTTGTGCAGACAGATTTTGCCCACCATAATTTTAAGAAGTGACCGATCTACATCGGTTAATTATTTAACTGCAAGTGGAAAGCGTAATCGGATTTTATCCTTATACTGTCCACTTGCGAAGCAGGTAACATTAGAAAAGAACTTTCAGTCTTTTCTTAACAAAGTGTCTTTATTATATCCTGTTATGGTAATTAATAAACCTGTCATTATAGAAGAAATACTTGATAATAAAGGAATCATTTCTATGCTTCAAGTTGAGGAGAATAAAGAATTAATAGAGCAAGAAGATGAGAATGAAGATGAGATATCTGATTTACTAATAGCAGCAGCCAAAGCATATGATGCAATTCAGACTATTATTGCTATAAAGAACAGAAAAGTTTAGAGTTAAACATCTCTTTTAAAAAATTAGTTTTTTAAAAAAATTACTCAAAGAATATAAACATGTATATGAAAAGTCAAAAAAACAAACCAAAATTATTAGTTTTTTTAACTTTTAAGGTTTATATTCTTATTTTCAAGATTCATCTCTTTAAGGCTTATATTCTTAAAATCTATATTCCCAAGATTTATATTCTTAAGATTTATATTTTCAAGTTCTGTATTTCCAAGACTCATATTTCCAAAATCTGTATTTCTAAGATCTATATTCTTAAGATTTGAATTTATAAAATTTGGACTTAGAATCATATTTACAAAATTCATATATTCAAGATTCATATATATTCTAGAGTATAAGTAGATAAATAAATCTTAATTTCGTTAATATTAAAGTATAATATGAATTAAATTAAAATCTCAGCCTTGTTACATACTTCTTATAGTTAGGACTGTTATATAATCTTTTTTTTTTTAATATTAATGGTGAGGCCATACCATTATCATATAATCTTTAGCTATAATTAATATTTATTTAGTATAAATTAAAATATGTATAGTTATGTTGTTATATTACTATATTAATAATTATTATTACTTTATAATAGTTCTGCTAGTATGTACTGTGCTTTTAGTTGATGAAAATATTACTGCAAGCTGAAGTTAATATAGTAAGATTATTTAATATATATAAATTATATACAGTATATATAAATGTCAGTCTACTTATAAGTAATAAATAAATGGTATATTGTAATATAACAATATAGAGTCTTAGTAAAGCTATACTACTTGACTTAACATGTAAGAGAGTTAAGGAATGTGTTGCAAACAAAAAAAAAGAATAAAATAAGAAAGAAAACTAAAAGAAACTTTAAAGTAAAATAATAAACCAAAAATAAAGAAAAGAAGTGATATCTCTAATTCTAAGACACAATAAAATATTCAAGAAAAGGAAGAAAAGGCAATGGCTTAACTCAATATACCAAAAATAAATACTTAATAAAGAAAGAAGAAGTGATGGCTCAACTTTAAATACACAATAAAAATATATATTAAATACAATAAAAAGAAAGTAGGTGATGGCTACACTTCTAAAAAAATAAACTATAAATAACAAGGAATTAAAAGTGGATAGAAGACAGTCTGCTTTGCTTTGGAGAAAAAGGCAGAGTTTTTATATCTTTTGAACTTTAGTTAATGATCTAGTTAATGACCTAATTAACAATCTAGTTAACAACCTAGTTAATGATTCAGTTAATAACCTATTCAACAATTTAATTAATGATCTATTTAACAACCCAGTTAATAATCCAGTTATTATACTAAATAATAACCTAAATAATAACCCAAATAATGTATCAAATAATGTCTTAGTTAACATATCTGTTAACGTACTAGTTAACATATCTGTTAATGTACTAGTTAACATATCTGTTAATATATCAGATAATGTTTCTAATATTATACTAAAATTAATACTATTTGTCAAAAAAACTAAAGCTAAAATATATATAATAAATATAGACTATATTTATAAAATATATTAATAAAATCTTTTAAAATATATTAATAAAATCTACTAATATAATAATATATTAAATCAAAAAGCTTAATTTACAAAACTGTATACAAAAAATTATATATTTATATATAATTACTTTATATAGTTATAAGCTTTTTTTATTTACTATTAAAGTAACTATATAAGATTTTTTAATATAGTTATACTCTTTTATAGTCATTTGAATTCTGTTTTTCAAACTTATAATTATAATGAGATCTGACTATATTTCAAAAGAAATTATATAATACAATATTTTTTTAAAATATTTCATATATATAAATTTGCTAATATTAAGTACAAAAGAGAACTTTAATTATATTAATATATTATAGTTAGAACTAAAGTTAGAGTTAGAGTTAGTCTAAAATAAATTACAAGAGAATTATTTTTATTTATTTTATATAACAGAATTATTTTAAAAATTTAGCATTTTTAAAATTTTGTTATAGAGAAATAAGATTTATCTCAGATGAGTAATAAATAATACAGCTACAAAGATTCATTACAAATTTATAGTGATATTCAAAAAGTAAATATAATTTTTACTTCAATTAGAAACTATATTCTTCTCTCTATAGCAGTTTAAACAAATAATAGTTTATAGATAAAATATATATTTATTGAAAGAAATAAGATAAGCTATCCTTAGATTTCTATTTCTAAAGAATTCTATAATATTACAAGAGAAAATTTAAAGAAAAACAGAGTTTTTATATATTTAGATAGTAAACAAGTCTGCTGTTTACTTGGAGAAATTTATAGCCTTTTTATATCTTTAAAGCTAATTGCTAATTATTGTAGCTAAGTATAGTTTACTTAATACTAAGTATTTTTTTCACTTTGGCTATCTTGTTAGTAATCTTTTATTAAAATTATTTTGTTACAGGTTGTACAAAATATTGAGCTTAATATTTAGATTTGGCATTTCGCAGTTACTTCTAAGAGTATTTACAATCTATTAGCAGTACTAAGCAGATATATCTATAAGAAATACATTATAGTAAATCTGCAAAAAATCAGAAACCCACCTATAGTAAATCTGCAAAAAATCTGAAGCCTACCTATTTTAGAAGACCTTATTAAACTATTACTCTACAATAGGATACTACCAATTTGATAACATCTTCTTGTATAGAAGTAAAAAAACAAACAAATACTAATATTAATACTAATACTAAAAAGAAAAAAAAAATAATAAAAGAAAAAAGAATCTGATAGTTATGATTATAAACCTATATCAATCTATCAAAAATTACATATTACAAAATAAAAAAGTTCTGTATTTAACTCTAGTTTAATCACAACTCTTTCTGCTGATCATCAAAACACAAATTTACCGAAACACAAAATTATTAAAAACTACAAAAGATACAAAAAGCTACTAGGAAACAAATCTCAAAGCTCTAAGAAAAAAAGAAGAAGACTACAAAAAATATTCAGTTTCTTAGAAGACTTGAGTAAAAGGAACAGAATTGCAAAGAAATAAAAGAAGTTATGAAAAATTGGCAATATTTTTTTGCATTTTGCGAATTTTTGGGGAATTGGCCTTAACTCTGAATTGAAAATCTGTTTTAGTAGTACAAGAATCACAATGCATAATGAAAAATAAACAAAAGAAACACACCAAAAACCACATGACGAAAATAAGCAATGGAGGTAAACAATCGCAACAAGTAGCAACAACAAATAATGATAACCAAAAAACAAGTACGTGAAGCAGAAGTTAGTACAAGTTGCTGGAAAAAGATCTGTTACAAAAAAAGAGTTATTAGAAGCTATCCAGGACATAACAACAGCAATAACTGATAAAATGATAAACATGCAAGTAGAACAGACAATAATGGAATATACTGGACAACAACTCCTCCCAGAAGAAGTAGCTGAAACACAAATAGAAAAACTTTTTAAAGAATTTCAAAAGTATAGCAGAGGAGAATTAAAGTATACTGAATTTGCACTTATAGAAAGATACTATGAATGTTTTCATGAAGCAATACAAAAAGAAAAAGATCCAGTTATTAAAATTATAAAAGAAGAGATAATTGGTATTATGGTAGAATTAAGGATAGGTGACAGATTAAGAAGATTACTAAAAAATAGGGAAAAACAAGATGCTGAAATAAGGTCGAAATTAGAATTAGGATGGAGAAAAAAACTTCAAGAACAAAGAAAAAATTGACAAAAACAGTACTAATGTCTATAATACAACAATTCAAAGAATCTGTCAAGACTATCGCAGCAAATCAACAAGAAATTAAAAGAAAAGCTGAAAAAGAAAAGGAGAAGATACAAGTTCAACAAAAGCAAAAGCAAGCTGCTGAAATAAAGTTGAAGTTAAATCTAGATTGGAGTAAAAGACTTCAAGAACAAAGGAAAACTTGA